ATTAAAATGGCAACAATACTTATGGGATAATATATTTAAAGTATTAGTAAAAGTTGATTATTTTGTGGGTGACCTGCCTATTACATTATGTGAAACATATAACCTCTTTTTATTAGTCCCAGGAATCACATCTCATATTTTTTAATGGCTTCAGAAATGAGCAGTTGGGGAGTTCTATAGAATGCGACTGATTTTCTACACTATGTTGCTGTGTGTTTTTGGCACTTTCTGGAATAAGATTTCTACTGGGTTGTTCAATTGTCTTACGCTTCATGGTCACGGTAAAATCTGCTGGCAAGGGAACAAACCCATCTGCGGTCTCTGTAAGGACTGCTGACTCTGCCCTGTTTTGTCCCTCAGGGACAGGGAGATGCCTGCCTTCCTTCATCACTGGGAAAAGCCAAGCAATCTCATTGAGTAAAGAGATGTGTTAAGGTTCAGAGCAATGAATGTCAAACTCAAATAGAGGTGGGAGTAACTAATCCATACACAATGATCTCCATGAGGCTACATACCGACTGTTTTAAAATGTCATAGTATCCATGCTTTATTCTATTTTAATTTTTATTTATCTATGTTTTGTTCAATATTTCCCAATTACATTTCGGTCTGGTTTCGCCTGCACTCAGGAATGTTGTGGGCTATGTGTGGTTCGTGGGCCATGTGTCTGATACCTCTAGTTAGAGAATAAGGATGTTATTTGGGTTAATAACCACTTTGGGATGGTTAGAGTCTATCTCGTTGAATCAAAGATTTAGGGCTGGAACTTAAATATCCTTAGATCAACTCTGACATTTCATGCATGAGGAAAATATAGATGAGGCCCAGAGAAGGGAAATACTTTGGCCAAGGTGACATAGATAGTGAAGGACATACAGAGTTTGGATTTTATCCATATCCTCTGGTTCCAGACCCAGCAATAACTCCATTCCACCATATTGGCAGGGAAATGGTCAAAGGGTCAAAGTTTTTCATTGTATAAGAAAAAAACTGTAAGCTTTCATGACTCAAATGATCCTAATGATTTGTTTAGCTGAGGACAATATGTCTTTTCGAATGTGGACTAGCTATGGATCAATAAAACTACATTGTATGTATGTACTCACAAACACACACACACACACACACACACACACAGAAGCATAGACTATTATGGTTGGGGCAAAAGAGTTTACAGTACAGTGAATTGAATGTGCCCAATCATGCCCAGCTATGCAGTCAAGTCAGTTACTTTGCTTTAAAGCAGTTACAAGCACTTGAAAATCAGTTCTTTATCCTCTTTTTACAAAATACCATGTATTAACTAGGAGAGGTATCTCAGCATGGGGGCTCAAACTGAGATTTCCCTTCCATTTTTCCTGTTCAAATGAGACTACACACAGAGCTTACCTCTGCAGAGAAGCTAGAATTGGGCCCTTAGACTATTACCTATAAATTTTTAGCAAAGCTGGTACTGATGGTGGTTTTGTGTACCAGGCCTGAGAAGAATCAGGTGGGCCATGTTTTCTCCCAAGTGTAATTAACTAAAAATGTTTTTAATGCAATAGGGCTTAAATATGTTATTTCTCCTGCTAAAAAACAGCCAATCTCTATAGAAATATTATTGCAGCATGCTTTATTATTTTCCAAAATTCCTTTCTGAATGTTTAAGGAAGACAAAGTTAAAAGATCATTAAGGCTGTATCATCATTGGTGTTCCAATTATTTTCTGACAAAAACAAAAGCATTTGTTATGTCTCTCCTTGCATCATAGAGCTAATATGGTTAGGGCACACATTCTACTTTTTGGAATTGAGATAATTGTCTGCGTCTAAGACTGGCAAGAACAAAAGATTATCCTTACTATCTAGTGCATAATTTTAGAACTTTATAATACCGAAATTCTCCCTTTCATGCAAGGGCATCCAAAATTTAGTTCCAAAAAGAGGGATAGTGGTGCAAGTTGAGCATTTATTATATCTTGATTATAACATTAGGATGAGATAGACAACATAGTATAATTGTATAGTATAATGCAAGGGTTCTCAATTTGTTTATGTGTTATGGACCTCTTTGATAGTTTTGTGAAGCCTTTGGAGACCTAAACAGAATGTTTTCAAATGTATAAATAACATACATAAGAATGCAATGGAAATCGATCAGAGTGAAACTAAAGATGTTTTTTTTTTCCACCCAAGTTCATGGACTACTGACCCCTCTCTGAAATCTATCTACAAATCTATGGATAGGCTAAGAACTCCTGATATGGTATTGGACTTAGAGTAAGACCTGGTTCCAAATTTTGTTTCTGACACTGAGTAGATAGTGTGTGACTATCTCATCAACCCTTAGGCTAAATAGACTCAGCTTAGTTCTTACCATGATTGTCCATTTCCTGTTTTCAGCTTCTGGAAATACAAGTGACCTTGGACAATAAAATACTTCATCATCAACTTCTTCTGGTTTTCTGGGCAAGCAGTGTAAAAATGTCCAGTTGGAAGCAGCAACTCCAGCCGTCTAAGAAAAAAAAAATGGTGGAAATGGTAGATGAGAACTTGGCACACTTTGGCTGAGCAGACCCTGTGTGACAGGTACACTTGAATATCTTAACATCTGGTTGGTCATTCAACAAGACACAAGGCTGGAAGTGTCTCTAAAAAGGCAGTACAAAAAGGAGATCTCTGAATCTTACGTGTGTGTGTGTGTATTTGTGTGTAATTTTAATTTGCTCCTTGACATCAGGAACTGTTCATTTTTGTCTTTGTCTATCTCAAAATACCCAGCACAATGCCCAACATATAACAGGTACTTAGTAAATTCTTGTTGATTTAGTAAGTGAGTTGTCTTTATTCCCATGGAAAGTTTTAAGTCACTAAAATGTATGATATATCCTCTGTTAGAAGAGATGATCTTATGGCTAATGTTAGTTGATACAGTGAATAGAGAGATGGGCCTGGAGGAAGATCTGAGTTCAAATCTGGCCTCAGATACTTACTAGCTATGTGAGCCTGGGCTAGTCACTTAATCCTGTTTGCCTCAGTTTCCTCATCTGTAAAAATGAGCTAAAGAAACCTCTCCAGTATTTTTACCAAGAAAACCCAAAATGGGATCACAAAGAGTTGGGCACAAATGAAAATGACTGTATGACCAATTGCAAGAGACATATCCAAAGCTCATCCAAAGAAGATTGTTTTGGTCATCATCCATGGATCTAATCTCTAAATATTTGATTTTAGCCTTTTACATACATTTAGACATAGCAGTTAAAATAATTCAGAAAATGAGTACTTAGATTATAGTTCAGATTGTTTTCCATTTTCACCCTGGTTATTTTAATTTTATTTAGTAGTTATTTCCTGAAAATTACATTTTAACAGTTATCACCTTTGCTTTTCCCTTACATAAGAAAAAAAATCACATTTTTACCATCTCTCCCAATCTTAGAATTGATGCTTTTATGTAAATTAAGATTTGTATAGTCCTTACTAGTTTAGTTCTAAGTTCAAAACTTTTTTTTCCCTGAGTCTCCAGAAATACTAGTGGAGTGGCATAGAAAAAGATATTTCATTTATTTGTGTGCTCTCTCTCTCTCTTTCTCTCTCTCTCTCTCACCACTTATATAGCATTAAGCTGAATATATAGAGAAAAATGAAAATAGTATTAATCTAGGAATTAAAGGACCTGAGTTCTAATCTTGGTTCCACTACTAATTGTGGGACCATTGGCAAGTGATGTCAACTCTTTGGGACTCAGTTTCATCTCCTGTAAAATGAAGGATGTTGGACCACTAGATAGTCACCAAAACCCCCTCCTGTTTTAAAATCTTGTGCTTTTCTATTCCTCAAATCCCCTGTTCCAGCACCAGAGGGATCCCCTGGAATTTGTGGCCAGCTTGGAGTAGGGTCATCTAATGATCTCCCCATATGTAAACATAGATTTATGAGAGGGAGTATAGAACAGTGGAATGAGCCCAGACTCTGGAGTCACTTAATCTCTCTGAGCCTCTTTCTTCATTTGTAAAATGAAGGGATTGAACTAGATCTCTGAGAATCCTTCTAGGTCTCTAGATCAAGGGATCTTAATCTGGGGCCCATGCCTTCCTTCCCTGCCCAGGCATCTAATGATAGATTTTAAAAGGACCATAAAATTAGAAAACAATCATATCTGTATTTCATAATAATTGGTTTCCTTTGTAATCCTACTTATTTTATTTTATATATTTAAAAAAAACATTATTATTCTCTGAACGGGTTTCATCAGTCCGACAAAGGGGTCCATGACACAAAACAAGGATAAGAACTCTCAGCTCTAGAAGCAGGAGAACATTGTTCACAATAACAGCAATAATGTACGATATCAACTGTGAATGACTTAGCTCTTCTCAGCAACATGCTGATCCAAGACAATTCTGAAGGACTCATAACTAAAAATACTACCATCTCCAGAGAAAGAACTGATGGAATCTGAATGCAGATTGAAGGATACTTTTTCTTTACTTTATTTTTCTTGTTGTTTTTGTCTGTGTTTTCTTTTACAACATGACTTACAGGGAAACATGTTTTGCATGACTGTATATGTATAATCTATGTCAAATTGCTTGCCTTCTCAGTTGGGGGGGAAGGGAAGGGAGGGAGGGAAAGAATTTGGAGCTCAAAATTTGAAAAAAAAAGAAAGTTAAAATTGTTTTTACTTGTAGTTGAGGGGAAAATAAAATATTGAAATAAAAAGAGCTCCCAGCTCTAGTTCTATAATCTTTTGATCTTAAGCCCCAGCTCTGCCCATTTAACTACCTGTGTGACCTTGAACAAAGGGTACCAGTTTCCTCGTCCATAAAAGGAGTTGATTGTATTAGGCTAAATCTAGGATCTCATGTTGATTCCTTCTAGGGAGATCCCTTCACCAAACTTGGCATTAGATTTCCTTGGAGGTCTTTAGGGAGTACCCTAAGATTAGATCAGGAGTGCAGCTGAAGGTATTCCACTTCCTGGAATGATCCTGGAATAATCCATTTTGATACACATGGATTTAAGAAAGCAGATATAATATAGAACAAGACTACAACAAGAGGAAAATTACAAGAAATTATATGGCTCAAAAAGTGCCACTGATGTATTTTTTTCAGTCTCCTAATGTTTTATAATGACACTTTTTTAATAATTGTGAACCATCTGGGCTCCAGCTTTGCTGCATCCATCACAAAAATTTCTTTGCAAAGGGCACAACTAAACTGAGAAAGGGCAGACAAAGAGTTCTTTGTGGAGAGGAAGAAGACGCCCTGTTCTACCCAAAGTGAAGCAGTAATTTTACAATTCTTGCCTTTATAAATGGAATTAATGAACCTATAGAGAAGCATCCATTTGTACCTTCATTGTTATCTGGTAACCTCGAAAGTCTCGTAGCCGCTTATTCTTCTCCTCCTCTTGCCCCATGCTTATCCACGTGTCCGTAATTAAGACGTTGCTCCCTTGTGCTGCTTCCATTGGATCAAAAGTCAGAGACAACTTGGTACCATGCTAGCAGAGATGCATGAGTGGATTAAACAATGACGCTTGAAATGCGAAGACCAGACAGACAGACAGATAGGTAGATAGATGATAGATAGATAGATAGATAGATAGATAGATAGATAGATAGATAGAGTCATAGATATAGATATATAAGTCCATCATACCTCTTTAGCATATTGCTCTGCTAGTTTGGTGATACCAGGATCTGGTTCATAGCCCTGTAAAAACCAGATTGAATTGTTAGTTTGCGTGTGTGTGTGTGTGTGTGTGTGTGTGTGTGTGTGTGTGTGTGTGCGTGTGTGACACATATGGGTTTCCTAGGAGGTCATCTTTCATCGGCGGATGAAACAGATTAGGCGGCAAAGTAAATGCCCACCTCACAAATGACCTATTCCATGATTCTTTCAAACAAGGTAAATAAACATAATGGACCAGTCCTCCCCAACAAGATGAGATGGAATAAACTCTTTGCAGGAAAGAAGTGTGAACCTTGCATCTGATGCTATAAATTACCACACTTTTTGGTAGCTCATGATTATTAAGGGGAAGCTAGGTGGCACAGTGGATAGAGCACTGGGTCTGGAATCAGGAAGACTTGAGTTCAAATCCAACCTCAGACACTTACTAGCTATGTGATTCTGGGCAAGTCACTTAACCCTGTTTGTCTTGGTACCTTATCTGTAAAATGAGCTGGGGAAGGAAATGACATACCATGCCAGTATTTGAGCAACAACTATAAATATTTATTAAAACACTTGATGACTAATATAAATCCAAGTAACCTGGACATTTCTAATATACAAGATACTATAGTTTTAGGTTTTCTAACCTTAATGTTGCTTCTAAATTATTTCAGAAATGATCCAGTTCTCCCACCTAGATTGATAAGACAAAACATTTTGCTTTTTCTTACTAGCTTGTGTTAATCCCCCCGCCCCCTTTAAAACCTCCATGGGAGGTTTACTTAATACACCAGCCTGATTCTAGGCTATGTTTCAAAATAAATTGTTTATTTTTATTTAGTAACAAAGGTGATAATAATGATTGGGAAGTATAGACTCAAAACAGTTATAGAGATTCCCATCAATAAATGACTATTTTGAAGGGAGTAGAATTAAAGAGGTTCCTAGAGGTTAAGAAATGGAATGGGGTTCTCCGATGCTGCCATCACTCTAATGGCTCTCTCTAATGGCTCACTCTAATAGCATCACTCTAAGGCTGCCACTGCCTCATTGTTGTTTAAGAGTGTCCAAGTCTTTGTGACCTAATTGGGAGTTTTCTTGGCAAAGAGTGGTTTGTTATTTCCTTCTCCAGCTCATTTTATGGATATGGAAACTGAGGTAAACAGTTAAGTGACTTGCCCAGGGTCACACAGCTAGTGTCTGAAGCCAGATTTGAACTCAGGAAGAGGATTGTGCCACCTAGCTGCCCCTGTCATTGCCTCACACCTGGATCACTGGTTTGACTGCCTCAAGACTCTTCCGCACTCTAGTTAGTCCGTCCTCCACTCAGGGGCTTAAGTAATCTTCCTAAAGCTTAGGTCTGATCTCATCACCTCTTACCCATCCCAAACCCCTCTCCCCTCACTATAAAACTCCAAAGATTCCCTATCACTTCTAAGATCAGATATAAAATCCTCTTGTTAGCAAGCAAAGTCTTTCACAACCTGGACTCTTCTGCCCATTAAATTGTGAGCTCTTTGAGAGCAGGGAATGTCTTTGCCTTCTTTTTTTCCTATTGCCAGCACTTAGCACAATGCCTGGCACATAGCAGGCATTTAATAAATGTTTATTGACAGACTCACCTTTTCAGTCTTCCTCCACTTGGCTCTTCTCCTCTCCCTCCTCCTCCTGCCCACCTTCCCTACATGCTTTTCCATTCAGGGATACTGGCCTTGTCGCTGCTTTTTGCATAAGATGCTCCATCTCCTGATTCCAGGCATTTTCATTTGCTAACCCTCATGGCTGGAATTCCATCTCAACCTCCTGGCTTCTCTGGCCTCCTTTAAGTCACAGATAAACTCTCACCCTCCACAAGAAGTCCTTCCTGCTCCTCCCTAATACCAGTGCCTTTCTTCTGTTGATTATCTCCAATTTATCCTGAATATAGTTTTTCATACATGTTCTTCCCCTGTTAGACTCTGAGCCCCTCAGGGACTGTCTTTCACTTTTCGTAATATTTCTAAGATATAGCGCAGTGCCTGGCACAGAGTAGGCACTTAATAAAATGCTTACTGACTGATCATCCCAAGATGACAATCAATATGTGTTCCAAGAACAGCTGAAGAGGTTTGAAAATGAGAAAACCATCCAATACAGGATGGTTCAGAGCACAATCAATAGTAGAAGTTCTCATACTCTATCTTGGAAAGCTGAAGTCTTTACTGACCCTTGTATGCAGACAAAGGTGAAGACTGATTATCAAGCTCATGTCAGTCAAACTTTTCCGTATTTACAATAATATAAAAATTGCTATCAATCATAGGTTATGGCAAAGTTTAAAAAGCATAGTATACAGACTGGACCTGTGATTTCATTAAGATAGAGAACTCCGGCGGGAGGATGGATACTCGTCCCTACAGATAGAGGTCAGCACATTCCTGGCAACTTATGGTCTTAGAGAGGTGCCTAGAACATTGGAAGGTTAATAATACTAATACTAATAATATAATTGTTATATAATTATTATTTATTAAATAATTATTATAATAATAAGCAGCACTTATATAGTCTTTAACATCTGCTGAGGACTTCACAATATTATCTTAACTGAGCCTCACAACAACCTTAAGAGGTTGGTGCTATCTTTATCTCCATTTTACATATGAAGAAACTGAGGCAAGCAAAGGTTAAGTGATTAGTTATGGGTCACCCAGCCAGTAAGGGGCAGCTAGATGCTGCAGTGGATGGAGTGTTAGGATACAGTGAATCTGGTCTCAGACATTTAGCAGCTATGTGACCCTGGGCAAGTCATTTAACTCTATCTGACTCGGTTTTCTCATCTGTAAAATGAGCTGGATAAGGAAAGGGCAAACCACTCCAGCATCTTTGCCAAGAAAACCTCAAATGGGGTCATGAAGAGTCAGATACAACTGAAAATGACTGAACAACAACAACCAGCTAGCATGAACCAGAGGCAGAATTTGAATTCGGGTCTTTTTGGCTTTGAGGCTGGCTCTCTGTTCCCTAACAAAACGACTTTTTAAGTTGTTTTGCTTTTCCATGTAAGCTATGCTAAGTTGGAGTGATGCAGGGAGGTAGATTAATTATGGTCATATAGGCCTTTCAGTATTTGGTAAGGCAATAAATCTTCTGGCTTTATCTTTAAAGAAAGCAGAACTGCTAATAAATGCTGCCTTGCAAATTTATGGAGCCATTCCAGCACTATTTGAATTTCCAGAGGATTAAAAAAACAAAACAAAAACCAAACATAACAACAACAACCAAAATTCCTGGCTAAAAATTTAGCTAGTTTTTAATGTTCTTTATCATTTAAATGAGTTTCTGCCACAGAACAGAGCTGTAATTATTTTTAATACTGGATTTTTTTTTCTTTCAACTGATAAAAGACCTTTAACATCCAATAAAATTTTTAAACTCCAATTTTTCCAAATAAAGCATTTTATAAATTTAATCCATGAGAATAAATATTATATATGTATATTTTGTCAATAAAAACAAACCTAACAATAAATCTTGCACTTAAGCAGTAGTTTTCTTCCAAGGACTTTTTTATTTTTTCCTTCACATTGAATATGGGCATTATCCTTACCTCTGCTCCCCACTTTGTCCCCTGCTTCTCTCATAAACTTTTTCAAATCCAGATTCTACCACTTATTTAAGTTTATGTTGATAGTACAGGGAATATCACCTAGATATCTCTCAAACCTACTTTGACTGTGAAGTTTCCAATAGGTGCATTCCTCATTTTGTCTGGATAGAGTGCTAGGCCTGGAGTCAGGAAGACCTGAGTTCAAATCTTGTCTCAGACACTTACTAACTGTGTGACCCTGGGCAAGTCACTTAACTCTGTTTGACTCAGTTTCTTCATCTGTAAAATGAGCTGGAGAAGGAAGTGGCAAATCACTCCAGTATCTTTGCCAAGAAAAACCTAAATAGGGTCACGAAGAGCCTGACATAACTGAAAGGACTCAACAACAACAATAACAACAAAAACAACAACAACAACGTGTCATTACTGTGCTGGCCCAGTTAGTGCAGAGATAATAATGAGAGATGATGTATCTTGGTCCAATTTCAACTATTGTGCAACATTACATACACTTCACATTTTCGGTCATGTGTGACTGAATGTCTGGACCCCAAGAAAATGATAAGTTTCTATTCTAGACAGAACAGCGGGGACTTTTTTTTAAAATTTTTTTTTATAACACAGTAGGCTGTAGCAAAGATTGCAGCTATATGACAGCTAAATTACACAGCTTTGCAAGGAATCAATTCATGTACCCAGTGTAGACAGCAGTGCTAGTGGGGGAAATGGTTGCACTTTATTACTTTTAGACTTCTCTTTCATTTGTCAATTCAATAAGCATTTCTTAGGTATGTACTATGTGAAAAGCACTCTGTAAGGACCCAAAGAAAAAAATGAAAACTAGGTCCTGCTTTTAAGGAGTTTACATCCTCTTCAGGGACATAAAAGAAAAGATATGGGTTCAGAGGTGGTACCTAATCTAAAAACCTTGAAGGAAGCTCAGAATTCTAGGAGGTAGAGGTTAGCCAGTCCTGCATTTATGAAGCACCTAGTATGCTAAATTCTGGAGATAAAAAGAAAAGCAAAAAACAAAAACCAAAACAAAGAAATCTCCCCTCCAAAATAAATAAATAAATAGAAACAAAAACCCAGTGTCTCAAGGACCTCACAGTCTAATGGGGGAGGTAACATGTACAAACAACTTATTACAAACAAGCTATATATAAGATAAATTGGGGGGGGCAGTGGTGAAGAAGCCAAGGTTAAGGAGAACTGGAAAATAATTCTTGCAGAAGGTGGAACTTTAGCTGACTTGAAAGAATCCAGGGAAGCCAGGAGGCAGAAATGAAGAGCATTCCAGGCATCAGGGACAGACAGTGAAAATACTTGGAGTCATATAGATGAACTATATCTCATATATCAAACGGAGTGTCATGTGAAAGAAACAGGTCACTGGATGGAAGAGTATGTCAGTGGGGGTGGGGAGGAGGGGAGTGAGATGTAAGAAGACTAGAAAGGCAGGAAGCAGGTTATGAAGGGCTTTGAAAGCCAAACAAGGGATTTTATATTTGATATCAAGGATGATGCCCATGTTGTGGGGCTGAGTGACGAAGTTAGTGGCACCCCCAGCCATAATAAGGAAGTTGGGAAATGAGGAGAGTTTGAGGAAGAAAAATAATTCACAACCAGGTATCTGTCTGATATTTGATACCTGGAGGTGGCAGGGAGCCACTAGTTTATTGAGTATGTGTGTGGGGGGGGGGGGAGTGATGTGATTAGACTTGCACTTTAAGAATATCATTTCAGTAGCTGAGTAGAGGAGAGTGTGAGCTGATAAAGACCTGCACCAGTGTAGTGGCAATATCAGAACAGATGGGAACATGTATGAGACATATTACAAAAGTGGAAATGAGAGACCTTATTGGATATGGGAATGAGAGAGGGAGAAATCAAGGATGACACCTAGGTTGCAGGGGTAGGAGACTAGGAAGTTAGTGGTACCTCCATCAGTAATAGAGAAGTTTGGAAGAGAGGAAAATTCTAGGGGCATGGGGGAGAATAATTCACACCCAGGCCATCTGATTCAAAGCCTAGCCCTCTTTTCACTGCACTAGATAAAATGATGCGATCCATTTGCCTCCATCATATATCTTACGTGTCTTTCTCTTATCCTTGTGGGTGTCCTACAGTTGATGTAGTTCATCTATAGCTCCTGTCCCATGGAGCCCATTGGTAACAGTCAGGTTGGTGTAGTAATAATAGCTAAAACGTGTATAATGCCTTAAGGTTAGCAAAGAGGTTTACAAATATCTCATTTGATCTTCAAAATAACCCTGGGAGATAGATGCTATTTATATCCCCATTTTACTGATGCAGAAACTGAGGCATCAGCTGGTAAGTGTCTGAAGATAAATTTGAACTTAGCTCTTCCTAACCTTAGGCTCTATCTAGTACACCATCTATCTGCCTCTTTTGTGGATAGAGAGCTGAACCATAGTCAGAAGATTGGGATTGAAATCCTGTCTCAGCCACTAATAATGTGATCATGTATGTGAGTCTCTTAGAATTTCAGAGACTCAGTTTTCTCATCTGTAAAATAGGGATAATAAAATTTTGTACTGCCAACTTTACAGAGATGTTGTGAAGAAAGTACTTTTTTTTTGCAAGATTTAAAGTGCTATATAAATGTGAATTATTATTATTCAACAACTATTATGTTTTTATTTCCAATAAAATACAAATTTGAATCATAGGGCTTCATGATTTGGGAGCTGGATGAGACCATAGAGATTATTTGCTCAATGTCTTCATGCAGGGTTTGCAGAATTTAAATGACTTAAATAGGTACTGTTTCTATCCCCATTTTACTGATGCAGAAACTGAAGCATCAGCTAGTAAATGTCTGAGGTCGGATTTGAACTCAGGTCTTCCTGACTCCAGGCCCAGCATTCTATTCACTGAGTCACCTTGCTGCTCCAATGTTATTTTAAGAAAACAAATTATCCTCCCCTGCCATTAGCAGACATCTTTGCCTACCTTGGGTGTAGCCACCTGCAGATTCATTCCAAATTTAGCGGCACTCATCATGATGGAGTGAAGAATATTGTTCCCATCACCGATCCAGCTAAGCGTGAGGCCTTTCAGATAACCATAATGTTCCTGTAAAACAAGTGATGTAAATAACAAACCACAGCTAGGAGGTGACATAGGGAAACTCAGCAATTTGAAACGCTGGGTTTTCTTCTCTTCCTTTACCTCTCCCCCTGAAAATAGAAGAAACATTTCCCGCTCAGATCTTAGCCACTTGGTACAAGATACTGTCCATGTCCATATCAAGACCCATACTCTAAAATGTCATTTCAGATTTTAAAAAATCCATGATATAGGCATTCACTCTGCTACTGCAGATTACAGCTTTTCTGTGCCTTAGTTGAAGGTTTCATGAGTGGCCATGGCTGACAACTTATCACTTTGCAGACAACCTATAAATGAGCCTTTCTGAATTTAGCTAAGCTGGTCCTCAGATAACAGACATACAATATATAGTCTGTTACCAGGTCCATACTGGAAGTCTTTCTAGCTTGGAAGGACAGCTATTGATAGTCTCTGAAAACAAGGGTCACCTCTATATCTTAGATTAAAAAGAACAGTTAAATCACAAAATTATCATTGGAAAAGGAGTCACTATTTAAAATATTTCCGTAGTGTGAACCCTGCACTAATCCTTTTCCACTCTAGATTATGACTTAATGTGCTTCTTTGCACCCTGGAGAATCATGGCATCAAAGCACAATCCATCCTAGTTCAATTAGATATGGATAAATAACCCCTCTTCTTATAGTAATAACTCCACTACCTGATAGTGACTAACAAGAGGGTTGTGTATTTTTTTTCATATCCAATGTCACCCTTGTTTTTTCATACTATTTTGATTGACTTTATGAGATAGCAGGTTGTTAACCACACTGTGATTTTTGGAGGACTCTCAGGTACCATGTACTCTTATTCTCCTTTGACCTAGAGATTCTCCTGGTAGGCATATACTCCAAAGAGGTCATTGAAAAAAAGAAAGGCTCCACATACATCAAGATATTTCTAGCAGCACTTTTTGTGTTAGCAAAGAACTGGAACCAAAGTATTGTTGTTGCTGTAGTTCAGTCATTTCAGTTGTGTCTGATTCTTTGTGACCTTATTTGGGGTTTTCTTGGCAAAGAAGTGGTTTGCCATTCCTTCTCCAGCTCATTTTACAGATGAAGAAACTGAGTCAAACAGGGTTGAGTGACTTGCCCAGGATCATACAGCTAGTGAATGTCTGAGGCCAGATTTGAACTCAGGAAGACTCATCCTGACTCCAGGCCCAGTGCTCTATGCACTGTGGCGCTACCTAGCTGCCTCTCAACTAAAGTGGAGACTCCTCAATTGGGAAATGGCTAAACAAATAGTGGTAGGTGAATGTAATGTAATAATTATTGTGCTGTAAGAAATGATGACTACAGACAGGCATGGACTTAAAAGAACTGATGCAAAGTGAAGCAAGCGGAACCAAGAAAATATACAAAACGACTACAACAATGAAATTGGAAAGAATAGCAACGTAGAACAATTGCAGAAGTGTTACAAAATTACAAAAAACAAGCTTGTCTCCAAAGAGAAGATATATCAGGACACCTCCCCTCTCCTTTGCATAGGTGGGGGATCAATGTGTGTGAAACACTACTTATAATGCCAGATTTGTGTGAGTGTGTGTGTGTGTGTGTGCATGTGTGCATGTGTGTGTGTGTGCATGTTGGTTGGTTTTGTTGTATTTTTTCTCTTCTTTTTTAAAAAGGTATTTGTCATAAAGAATTGATCTTTGGAAGGGAGAGGATTAGGGAGTAAAGTGGGAAATCTAGGTGATGGAAAAACAAAAGCTATCACTAAAAATCCATTTTAAAAAGAGAAGAGACTCAGTTCTCTTAAATCCCCTTAGCTTTAACTGAGCATCACTTATCACTCCTAAACAACAACATAGACTTTTGTTGATCAGCAGCAGAGTCAGCAAGAGCCATTACTGGCTGACCCAAAGATGATGGAGAGCTTAGACATCCAGGAACACCAGCGAAAAGGAGAAAGAGTGGTGTCTTTTCTTTACTTTTTTTGGCAATTGGGGTTAAGTGACTTGCCCAGGGTCACACAGCTAGTAAGTGTCAAGTGTTTGGTCAGAGGCCAGATTTGAACTCAGGTCCTCCTGACTTCAGGGCCGGTGCTCTATCCACTGCGCTACCTAGCTGCCCCAAGAATAGTATCTTTTCCCAACATTTTTTACATGCCTCATCACCACTTCTTGTGAGGGACTGTCTGATGTTGGCTACTGCCAGGTGGATGTTGTGGCAAGATCGGGGTAAGATCTGGGTATTTGGAAGTACTGAGGCAGGGGCTGTGGTAGGCGGAGTTGTGGTGAACTGGGATGGGCTGGATACGGAGAAGCCCTGAGGCAGTGGGCAGTGCTATGTGAGATAAGCTGGGGAAGGATCAGGATACAAGGAAGTAGCGGAGCACGTGCTCCTGAGGCTGGGGGCTGTGCCACGTGGGAGTGGGACAGCAGAGGACAAGTTCCCTTTGCTTAGTCCCCTCCCTAAGTGCAACATCAACCCCAGACGCCTCCTTCCTGTGTCCTTCCTGACTTCCTGGGTCACGTACCTTCCCTTTGTGTAGCACTGACCCCAGACGCCTCCTCCCGGGATCTGGGCCTGACTCCCTAGGTCACGTACTCTTTGTCTATGCACTAATCCCAGACGCCTCCTTCCTGTATCCGGTCCTAGCCTCCTGCATCACTCCCTCTCCCTTGGTGCACTAAACTCAGACAGCCCCTTCTGGTATCTGACTCTACAATCATTGACTAGTAGGCGGGCTGAGGAGGAGGGGCTAAGTAGGTACTTAGGAATGGTCGCAGTCGGGAGCGCGCTCTCTTTGCTCCTGTTCTGTTGCTATGGCCTTCCTGCTTGGCCTTGCTGCAATGGCCTCTGAATAAAGCTCGGGTGTTGGCAGCCTCCTCATGGGTCATCTCTGTGTGTGTATCCGGGTAGGCACCGAAGACTGGTAAATATGACTCTGGCAGCCTGCTCCTTGTAGGAGGAGAGTGTACGGCGTGGCCGGCACAAGGTCGGCGCGGCCGGTACAACTTCTGTTCACATTAGTACAAAATTCATGCAGAAAGCCTTGCTAGGTACATACTATATAAACTTACACTATTTCTATTTCTCATAAACAAATGAAATTTATTCAGGTCTTAACAGAAGTACATAACCAAGGTCAGTTTAATGACAGGTATGTCTGCTGCCTGGCCTTATACACATAAGGCTAACCACCTGTATGGTCTAATTTTTAACGTTTATATAGTGTTTACTTGTGCCAGGCAGTATGCTAAGTAAGCACTTTATAAATATTATCTCATTTGATCTTCACAACAACCCTGAGAGGTGGGTGATGTTATCCCCATTTTACAATTAAGAAAACATAGGCCAACAGACTTGCCTGAGGTCATACAGTTAGTAAGTGTCTGAGACCAGATTTGAACTCAGGTTTTCCTGACTTCAGGCCCAGCACTCTATCCACTGCACCACCTTCAGTGATCCTTTACTTAAAATTATATCCTTAGCAGCTTACAATTAATGCTTGTAATTTTGGCATTGGAACTGCATGTCTTTGCATTAAGCCCTTGTGTTTTCAGAAATGTTTGTTAAAGCACAAATAGCCCAAGGGAAAGTGGTGTACTCCTCCATAATCAGTCACTAACATATTATCATTGGTTGGTTCATCAGATTAGCTCATGACAAGAAGGAGCATTAGACAACTAAATTGGTATCAAGAAAATTCTGCAGTAGCAGGTCCAGGGGAGGCCGTGGCAGTATATCATAATAGGCTCTAGGGGCACTTAGAAGTACTCAGCACCTAGGTGGACAGCAGTAGAGATGACAGAAATGGAGACAGGAAAAAGCCTCAGGCAAACTTCAGGTACGCTAATACAGGCATAGAGTTTTTCCTCTCTTCATTGGCTAAATGAGTCCTACAAGGGGAACTTTTTGGTTCCTTCTACTTAGAAGTCATCTTAGCAGCCCATGAGCAATCAAGATTTTTCCAGCTGTTACATGTCTAGAAACAAGTGGCTGCTACGAATTAGATGAATTTTAAGATTCAGGAAGACCGACCACCCCCTTAAAATATGTTAATTGCACCATTCTAGAGTCATTTAAACTTGCTTCAAAGATAAACGTTTCACAAAAGGGCTGACATCTTATCCAAGTTTCCTTCCAAGCATAGCATCAGACTGGATAGAATGCCCATATTAACATTAACACCTGTTCAAGGACTATAGATTTAGAGTGAAAACGGATGTTGAAAATCATCATATCCAATCATTTTACAAATGAGGAAATTCAAGTTAAGTGTTTTGCTTAAGGTCACATTAGTAGTATGTAACAGGGCCATCTCCTCCAGATCCAATATTATATCATGCTTGTATTCAACCCAAGCAGTCAAATATTTTTATATCCTCATTAGTAAAATCAAAGTTTTTTTTTTCATACTGCCACTAATAAAAAGTAATTGTTTACTGGTATTTGAATTATCTTTTTAGGGGGGTTATGTCTGAAGGGAGAAAGATGAAAGCCACCAAAGAGATTCTTTTCATACTAGGGCAGAGGTTCTTGACCTGGAATCCATGAACTTGTATTTGTTTTTATTTTCCTTTGCTTGATTTTTTGATGAATATATTTCAATATAATTTGTTTCCTTTTTAATCCTATGTATTTGGTTTCAAGTGACTGAGGAATAATTCATTTGAAGACAACAAAAAGAAATATTTTAAATAGCAGCATACCTGGAGAGTGAGGTAATCAGCCAGAATTTGGATAGGATGGTACATCTCTGACAATCCGTTGACTATTGGTACTGAAGCTTCTTTGGCCAAGTGGTCCAAATCAGAGTGTTTATATACACGAGCCAGAATGGCATCTGTCATACTAGACAGCACCCTATAGGTAGCAAATATAAAAGTTAAATAAATGAAGGTATTCTGAATGCATAAAGGATAATAAGTAATGAGAACCAGATGTACCACTTAACAGTACAGTAGTAAGACCTGTCTCAAGACCGATGTTTAAAAGTTGCCAGGAGGAAAGCGAACTTACTCAATGAAAAGTCTCATTTTGCTCAACAGAACATGATTTTGCTCTGATACGTGGCTGTAAAGTAGCTTAAAGTAGATTGCTGGCACAGCAAACAAGATAGTAATTGATCACTTATAAAAGACAAGAAATATCCAGTCACCAACAAAGCCAGGGAATTTGAAGAGACAGAAGCTGCAAACTTTTAATAGTAAAAAACAAAAAACAGACAAACAAAAAACAGAGAACATTGAATGTTGCTATACTGATATGTAGCTGCTACCTTTGATTTAAGTTATCACACAAATGAATATTTAATTTTATGTCAAACGAAAACTATGGCTGCTACTGAATATGGAAGCAATCTCTCTTCTAAGTTCTGCAGACAGAATGACTATTAGCACCTAAGGTTGCTTCTGGGAAGGTTAGAGAAATAATAGAAATGTACTTTAATTCAATCATGGCCATAAATACAATGTGTCAGGAAAGCTGAACAAAAGTCTATCTCCATTGTTTGCAAAAGCCATGTGAGATCTCATTTCTCTCTCGTGCTCTCTCTCTCTCTCTCTCTCTCTTTCTCTCTCTCTCTCTCTCTCTATCTCACACTCACTCACACCCACATGGATAATAGCAAATAACAATCCTCTAGATAACACAAAGTCTCAGGTCAACCCTCAAAAGCCTATTTAATTCATTAACAACTTTGAAGTATAGTGGTAATACTATAGAATCTAACTGCCATGTTTAATAATGATCCTGTGGGAAATGAACTTGGGATTGCATCTTAGAATGCAAAGAATGCATGTCCCTGGCTGGCGACTCCTTTCTTCCCCCATCATTCATTTGCCAAGCAGTGGAAATGGGACCTACTCCAACCCCAAGGAAGTAGTAGTAATTCCCATTCCAGGGGGTCAAAGGTTAAGGAGTTGAGGGGAATCAAAAGTTTCTCTTTCTATATATCCCAAGAGATAATCCAGTAAATAAATAAACATTTATTTAGTGTTTACTATGATCCCAGCATTGTGCTAAGCACAATGCAAACAAGATGCAAAAGACACTCCCTGCCCTCAAGGAGCTTACAATCTTATGAAAGAGACAACAAAACAATAAATAAGTACAAACAAGCTATTCTATCTTGCCAGACTTCCCAGTAATTCTACTTTATTTCTTCTAAGGCCCCTAGGAATTATATCAATAAAACACTTTCCACAAAGTTTTCAGTGAAATAACACTATAGTCACTAAAACTATAGTTCCATATAGAAACTCTACCATGTGAAAGGTGGCCACCTCATCTTTCCTACTCTAAAACTTTTCTATGGCTCAAACTCTATGAAGCAGTGGTATAAGGACTGGGTTGATAGACAACAAATTACCAATTTGGAAAGAATCCAGAACAGCTTTTTAAAATGTTTTAATATTTACCCCTCAGGACCACCCCCAACCCCGAAAAAAAAAAAAGATCTGTTATGAGTAAATGGACACCCTCCCCAACCACAGCTAAATGGTCATTTGGTCATTTTCAAATTATCTAAAATTAATAATATTGTAATTATGTATAGTCTACTCTTTATAATATTAATAATAGAGGTACTCTGTATCCAGGATATGCTTGATTATCACTTCCAGTTATCAACATGTGGACAAATGATACTTTCAGCAAGAATCTAGAAAGTTTTACCTCACATACTCACACAGGGACTGAAATCAAGACAAGAAACTAAAGTAAGGACGTGTTTCCATTGTTGCTGGAAAATGAAGGCAAGAACTTCCAAAGAGAAAGACAGATTTTGAAGTGAATAAAGAGTTAAAGATGGTATTTGAGAATAGAATTTGTATTCCCAGACCATAAATGTAGGAATGACAGGCTCTTAACCAGGAATGAAGTGCTCTTAACAAGGGCTAGAATAATAAATTTGCCTGGAATCTTGCAAGTTTAATCAAAACAGTTTAAGCTGAAAAGACAGGGAAGAAAGAAAACCATTTCTAACTACTGAGATAGATATCATAAATAGCAACTATTATATAGGGAGAAGAATTGCAGAATAATAATAATAGTATTATTATTAATCAGCATAATAATAGCTAGATCATTTACATAGCACTTCAACAAGTGTCATCACATTTGATAGAAGAGATGCATAGAAATTCACAGGAGACAAAAATCTAAATAAAGGAGCCAGCAATAAAACCCATTACTTTAGATGTATATACAAAAAGGTACAAAGTATGAATAAGAAGCAAGATGAACTAGAGATCCTATTAAAAGGAGATAAATGTGATCTCGTAGGTATCGCTGGTGGAATGAGAGCCATGGCCAGGATATGATTTTGGAAGGGTATGGTTTATTTATACACACACACACACACACACACACACACACACACACACACACACACA